CCCTGCCGTTTTCACCCCCCATCTTTCCCTCTCATCCCTTCCTCTCCCCCCACCTGCCCTCTCATTTTTCCCCAGTGACCCCGCCCTCTCGCTCTCCCCTTAGTCCCGCCCCTCGCTTCTTACCACCCTCCCGTCCTCTCTTGCTGCCTTCTCTTTCCCGCCTGCCGCCTCGCTTCTCTCTCCTGTCACCCCCAATTCGCTTCTCATCACCCCCTGTCCTCCATTATCCCCTTCCCACCAGGCCCCTTCCCCTGGCCCCGCCCCCTCACTTTCTCCCCTTAGGCTCCGCCCTCGCTTTCTACCTAGTCCCGCCCCCGCTTATCTCCCGGCCCCGCCCCCTCACTCTGGTCTCGCGGCCTCCACCCTTTCTTCAGCCTCGAATTCCTCCATCCTAATCTTGTAGCTTCTCGCAGTCCTGTTCCCCTCACTTCCCCTCTTGGTCCAGACCTCTTCAGTCTAGTCCACTTCCTTTCTCTCTTAGGCCTAGCCACTGTCAACTCTTAACTGCTTCATTTCTTGCCTTTTCTGCATTGCTCTTCACTCCCACACCCCCTTCCTTGAGCCCCCCATTGGACACGATCCCCCTCTCACAAACGCTAGAGGCTTTGGCAGCTGCACAAACACAAGATCCTTGATTCACTCCCGTTTAGTTTTCAATGAAATGCCCGTGTTTCCTAGGTGGCTCTGTAGTGCCACCTTCAAGGGTGAGCGCGAAGCTCTGCTGTGGGCCTACGACGTGGTTTGATTGTGTGTAGATGCGAAGTGTCGACTGGAGCCACCCTTCCTTAGCGGGCTCCGGAGATCCTGGACCAATCTGCATCCCCATCTTCCCTTTCTCAGTGCTACCAGTGCTGCTGCCTCTTCTCTCAGTCCACCCTTCGGACTTGCCAGTTTAAATTCATCCCTAAGCCTGGATTATAGTGTTGGAGATAAAGTTATGCTTTGGGACTTTCCAAGCTCGAATATTTCCAGCTCTGGAAAGGAAATAAATTCAATCTACTCCCTGTCAGGGATTTTCTTCCTCTGGATTTTTCTGTCTAGTGGCCAGTCTGATGAGGTTATCTGAGGTGGGGTCTGGTCAGGTTCTTTTAAAGGGAGAACAGTGTTTTGAACACTTTATGGCAGATGTTAAGCCACAAAGTTATTGGTAAGATGTATGGAAATGACAATAAGTAATTTTTTCAAATTGAAATTTACTTTGATAGTTCATAGTGTTGCATGATTGAGTTTTTAAAGGAAAGGGTATTTTTGTTTGTTTTTGTATAAAGGTTTTAGATTAGCTAATAAATTAGACCCAAACCCAGACCCTGGTTTTATAAAGTAACAGGTATGTCTCTGAGATAGGAAATACTTCTCATGTGTTACAGTACATACATTGTTACTTTTGTAGTTACATACAAGTCACATTTTCTGACATTGTAACACTTGTAAAACTTTAGTTACTGACAGTTTTAATTTGGTTCTGATTTACAATGTAATCTATAGTTGACATCAGATTACTTTCAGTTTTCATGTTAAAAGCAAAAGTAGCTGATTGTGTGAGTTTTTATAGAACTGTAATTGCTTTAAAAAGAACAAGTTTTGAGTAAGTTTGTTCCAGGCAGGTTTATGTATATTAAATAGTCCAAGTTGGCAGGTCAGGATCTTTTCCTTACAAAAGAGAGGACTTGGTATGTCCTCCCAACTTATTTTTGGATTCAGAAATTAGAAGCTACAATTGAAGAACTGCTTTGAGATTTTTTTAGGTAGCATTTAATAGAGAGTGATCAGGTGCTAAATGTTCTTTCTGACACACCTTTCCCCTTCTCCCTGGTAGATGCTGCTAATGGTCTGAGAGGATCTGTGAGCATGATTGTTTTTGCAGTAGAATTGAGGTTTAGTGATGATTGTATACACATGTGATGCCAATCATCTGTTGAATGTTAATTGATGTGGAATGTTAGAACTATCAATAGATTGTTAAAGATGGACTAGGTTTGGGTCTCATCTACGGTTAAGGGAACTTTGAAATCTCATTTCAGCATGTTGGGTAGTGATGTTTCAAAAGTCAAATACTTTTGTTACAGGTTTCAGTAGTTTATTTCATGTTTGAAAAAATGACTTTTACTGCTATTCTAACCAGTCATTGACTGCCACACAGAGCATAATTCAATGCAAAGACAGCGAAGACATTGGAGTTACAAAAGAGCATTTAAAACTTTTGGTTTCACAGTTGTATTTGGTGGTGAATAGAGCATTAGATTTTAGATCTAGAAGACTTGCAGTCTGGCCAGATCTATCATTAAACTACATGATATGCGAACAAATTAACGTTCTGGTCTCAGTTTCTTCATATAGCAAATGAAATTTAAACTCCATTGTAACTTTTTTTTTTTTTTTGAAGAGGTTTTTTTTTTTTTTTTTTTTTGCTATAGGGTGCCTGTGCTCGCCAGACAGAGACAGAGAGATAGAAAGTGAGAAATCACCTCCCAGGGGGACATTGTAACTTTTTTTGATCCTCCTCACAGGATATTATCACTTTGGCTATCTGCTTACTTCAGATACTTTTAGCTATTTATGCTTTCTGAATCGTGATATTCAGAAATTTGTGTTAAGGGGCCAGCAGCTGGTGTGGTAAAGGTACTGGACTCTGGCATGACCAACCACGGTTTTGACTTGCTTTCTCACTTTCTCTCTCTCTGGTGAGCGCACGTGCCCTATAGCATATTAATAGTAATAAATTAAAAAAAGAAATTTGTGTTAAAACACAGCATTCGGGACCAGCAGTTGGCGTAATGGTATGTTGCTGGACTCCCATGTAGTCAACTGCAATTCGAGTCCTGGACCTGGTGGCTTAAACTCACTCTGGGCATGTGTGCGTGCATGCCCAAGATCCTGAGAGGAGAAGGGTTTGCGGCATGGCCATCCCCCCTGGGAGGTGATTTCTCGCTTTCTGTCTCTCTATCTCTCTTTTTCTGGCAAGCACAAGCGCCTTATAGTAAAAACCTCTCCAAAACAAACAAACAAACAAACAAAAACAACCAAACAATAAAAACCCCACAGCACTTGTGTTTGATTTATGCCAAGCATTAATTTTGTATATTGACAATATTTGTTTTTTTTTCCTTCCTTGTGACTCTGTGTTTTTGAAAACTATTGGATGATATGTTGAACTGCTTTGGCAACTTAGTCGAAATAGAAGAAGAATGTTTGAGTCGTTATGTTTAAAATAATGTAATTTTAATATATTTCTTTTTTAAAAAAGAATTATTTTATTTAACTTTATTTATTTATTTAACCAGAGGGGGATGGAGAGAGGCTGGGGGGAAACAATCCATCTGGTCCGGGACTCAACCCATAGTTGGCCATGTGGGAGTCAGCGCTCTTAACCATCACACAACCTGCCGGCCCCTATAATTTTAATGTATTTCTAGTGTTAAACAGAAGAAAAATAGTTTTAAGATGGCCTCAGTAGATTGGTGGAGATTATATGTGCAAAATCAAGCTATCTTTGTTAAAAAGTACTATATTTAAGACATTTTACATTTCAATGGCAAATTAAACACTTTGAAACATTTTGATTTAAAATGCAAGCAGGTCTTGCAAAAACTTTGTTCTTATGTGGTTCACAAATGAATCCCAGATACTTTACTTAAGCTATTTGGAGTAAAAGAATGGAGTTTTGGGACTGGCAGGTGGTATGGTGGTTAAGGGCGCTGGACTCCCACATGGCCGACCACAGTTGAAATCCTGGACTTGGAGGCTTGCTTTCTCACTTTCTCTCTCTCTCACTCTGTCCCTATCTGGTCAAATTAAAATAAATTAAAGTTAAAGGGAAAAGAATGGAGTTTTGAGCTTTAAGGGTTCCATAGTGCTCTTTAAGAAAATTAAATTTTATTCTATAATGTTAGCCAGCTAGTTGAAATACCAAGAGCCTAAACATTTTTGTGTGTGTGCTTTTATACCTGGACAAACTGTCAGACTTCCTTGTGTTTTTCTTTTGGAGCATGACTATATTGTGAAAAGAGAAAATATCCAAGAAGGGGGGACCTTCCTTGATAACATATAGGAATGTGAGGCTATTTTTAAAGTTGTAGCATATGCAATGGGAGGCCAGACTCGTGTTTTGGCATTCAAATGGTGCAACTTGGAGTAAAATAATTGTAGTAATAGCTGTTAATAATTCTATTTGATCAATAACAGGTGATCTAAATGATTCAAAATAGTTAAGTTCCTCTTAAGAAAGATTGAAACTGTTGAGTGTTGACTTTGTCCATTTATACCAGCAAAGAACCTCATGCATGTAAGATAGGCAGAACTTCTGTTTCAACAACTG